TACGTTCTATATCGGTAAGTACTTAGTTTGCTAAGTGATATACATGTGTTCATGCCTACTAAACCAACTTCACATAACTAAAGAACTATCTACATAAGAGAAAAGACTCTATTCTGCATTCAATTGTGGAAACTTTAATTAATTATATTAAAAATAGAAATAAAAATAAATATAAGGTACTCAAAGGATATTTAGGAGCAACCGTCTGTCCGTCCCCATTAACATTTCAACTCGGATTCAAAACCAAATTCAGCATTTAGATTGATTGAAATAGAAATAACCCAGCTAAACTTTATTTATAGAATTGTGCTGGGATAACTAACGAACCACATATACCCACAGCAAATGAAATATGTATTTCATTCCACGAATGCAGAATATGGAGTAGGCAGAGTTCAACTGAGTGTCGAATAACTATTGATTGCTTTCCATCACTTTATGCTGAATGTCATTTAAAAGATAAAATTTCAGAATTTCAATGAATTCGAATTGTATTGTGTTCGCTCAATTAGTAAAATATTAATTTTTCAGAACCATGTCAATTACTGAAAAAAATATGATTTAGATAAAAAAATCAAGGTATCATATCACACCTAATTTTTATACCTAGTAGTTCACTGCAAACTCAAACATCGTGGAGTTCTATAATCCACAGTAATTACGAGACAAATTAATTTATTTAAAAAAAAAACATTTGCAGATGACTTTAAAATTGATATAAACAATATAACCGATTCGGTGTGCAAAGACGATTGTTTGTTCTATAAAGATTGGACATATGACTGACAACCTTCAAGTTTGTTTTATTGATAAAATTAACACTCTATATCTTAATGTCTGACATTTTAATCTATCAAATATCCTCCAACCTAAACATTGTGGAGTTTTATAAGCCAGAAATACTCCAGAAAAATACCAGAAATAATCTATATGAACTTTAAAATTAATATTAAAAACACATTCGATTAAGTGTCCGAAGACGGTTGTTTGTTCTAAAAGGATTGAAGCTTGACTAACTTGTCTTCACAACAGAAGCAAATTGTATCAAGTTTGTTTATTGATAATGCACGGAGAGTGCTCCATCTCTGTTATTTTTGACTGTCAGAGAATCTCAAACTCGAAAATTGTAGAATTCTTTATTCTATTTACTGAGTGAAATGATTTCTTTACAAAAAAACTGGAATATTCTATACAAAGACGTCTTTAAAATTGATACATTTTCGATAATCTTGGAGGATTAAAGTTTGACTGGCTTATTTATTTTAGCAACAGAAGTAGATTGTATAAAGCTTGCTTCTTTAATACTTTACTCTTCAGAGGGAATTAGATTAGAAACCCTACCTACCTTAAATACAACTCTCAAACCCTACTATATTAGCTCATTTATTAACTTTATTAAAAGTTTATTTGCAATAAAAGTCAATAAATTCAAACTGTTATTTATGTAAAAACGATTCATATATATATAGTTATATATATATAGTTAGTACTTATTTACTTATTATTTATTTATTTTGTTCACTCATCAGACAACATTGGATTTTATCTTCATAGTATAAACAACTATCGAAGCTGCTGAAAAATTGTGCTGACTTTGAAGAGGACTAAGTAAATAAGTTACTCAGGCCTCTGTCTGTTATAAACCAGTACATAAGCATAACTAGAGAAACACGTGCTATTTTCAACAAAAAATAGTAAAAAATAGTAAACCCGTGTTACTATTCAATGCAAAAAACTGCAATACCTTAGTCTGCAGGTACACCAACTAACTATTTCCAAAAATAATAAATGCGGAATATGTAAGGAACCGATTGTTGAAGAAACTTTAGTATATTACTTAAGTTTCTGAAATACCATTCTTGAAACTATTTCGTCCCTAATACTAGCTTACACTATCTCTTAAGACTCGACATGTTTTATATGATGTGTGTCTTCTCTAACTGTATTCAAGGACATTTGTAGTATCACCACGGTTCTATCATATATATATATATATATATTGCTTGGTCGTGAACAACTTACTTCAACTATATACTATATATTCTCAGTATGCATGAGAAATATTACAATAGGTGAATCTCCTGTCATATGATAACGTAGTTTTCCAAAGAATGATAATATCAATTATTAAATTTGCTTATTTTAATTTATCATAGTTCCAAAAAAACACACCTAATAGGTTTCTTTTTTGAGTAGTAAACATAGTTAAACTTATTAATATCAATTTTAACTACGCTTTGAATATTTCAATAAATTATTTAATACACTTAAATAATTATACAATATATCTTAGATATTTACAGTTGTGTTCCAATATAAAACTATTGGCTATACATAATTAAAATATCATCTAAATAGCGAACGTTTGTATAACTAAGCACCTTTAGCAACTCATATTTCAACTTAATATAATTTCATTCTAATATAATGAAGCAAGTGAATTTGTTAATGAACTATCATAGCAAATTAATAAAGCTCTAAGTTCGAAGATGCAAGTCAAGTACGGTTTTGAGTCAGTTAGCTAATGAGCACTTACACTGAGCTCCAAATTTGGGAGGATACGAGTTCAACCATTGGTACTTGCAGCCTCAAAAAATTATATACGAATAATTAAATATGAATAAATAATTCCAAGACCACTGATGATGGGTATTTGGCAATACTTGAAACAGCTCTATGGTCAGCCAAAAATTCAATTCCTTGTAATAATACAAAATTTGTATTTTTGTTGTTATATTTCGCTACTTTTAATATATATTTCTATATACATTCTTTCCAGCTTGGCTGAGGTTTCTCATTTATTCAAATAAAAGTGGAACTTATGACGTCATTTATAAGACTCTTACACAACGCAGACTGCATGCTAGTTGGAAATGTAATGTAAACAATGAACTAATGTAAAAAAATAGTTAGAGATTACAAAGTTTCTTCAGCTCGACCTGGCCTAATTTTATTACTATTCCCCTCATTCTTTCTATTTCTCTTATATATCTACATCTTCTTACTTCAAATACCACATTATGTATTTCTTTTTTAATCTTTTTATGTTTCTGCTTTTAAAGGACCTATATAGGTAACAACATGAACAATTTACTAATTAAATTGAGCGGGAAATACATTAATGTATGTATAGCTCTATGACATTATTAGTCAGGAATTGTTAAAATCACGTTTACTATTTTTAAAATGCATCTATAACAGAATATCAAATCACGATCTTTTGACCCGAACAAATGTTAGAGATGTCAATCTACACTTCGAAAAGCTCCCACCGAAATTTGTCAACAGGCGTTGGCATACAACCCACAAGGTAGTAGAGGAAGAGGCCGTCCAAAAATAACATGGAGAAGGTCAACGTTGAATGAAATAAACACCATTTTGCAGCCCCTAGGAAGAAACATAAGCAACATTTCAGACATAAAGGACGTAGCGTTACGGCGCGAAAGGTGAAAGCGGCTTATAGACGGCCTATGCCCAGTATAAGAGGCTGCTTGAAATCATAGACGACGAGCAAGGCGTATTATTATTATTATCTATACCTTATTGAGAAATGCTTTTTAATAATCAATATTAAACACTCTTTTATGAAGATTATGATGTTGAAAAGGTTAACCCACTCAAAAGACTTCGAAAACCAATTTTCATTAAAAGAGGTGATTGGGGATTTCAAGCTAATGGTTGTTTTTTATTTTGAATTTCTACCGAACCACACCAAGATTAATGTTGAAGTATACTGAAGAATTCAGAATTGAATAATTGAAAAGGTATATGAAACCTCATACCAGTTATGTATCTCGCGATAAAACTTTAATACTTTGGATCGGATGTTTAGTGCATAAAAATATTTTCAAGTTAACTGAACTTCGAAATATTACTTGCTTCAATCCTCACGAAACTTTTTCGTAGGTTAAAAATATGATATTTATATATCATAACACTATATATCAGAAATCTTATGAATATGGAATTATGAGTTTGCAGAAAAATGACAAATAACAATATTGAAACAATATTGACTATATATTATTCAAAGAACAACTTTAACTCAGATAATATTTTCCGAATAATCCAATATTATGAACTGCACTAGTTCCCCATAATTATAATAATAATAATAACTTGTTTAATCATCTACGGACTGATATCACAGTTGTAACTTAAGTGTCAAAACCGACTTAAGTATGAATTAAACTATCAACTGGACTAATCGAATGATTCATTTGAACAGAAGAGACCAGTTTTTATAAAAAAAAAAAGGATACAGATTCCAACAAGATAATGTGAGATTCTATGCCCATTAGATAGCTCGCGAAAAATTATATCATGATGAACTGCACTGGTCCCCCTTAGTTATAATAATAATAATATACATATTTAATCATTTAATCAACAAACTCGTAACTTAAGTCTCGAATCCCAATAAAATATAAATTAAATCAGTAAAGTTGATGTCTTAAGTCAATATAGAGACTTAACTCACAACTGTAGAATAGGTCATAATTCTCTATAATCGGTAATTTTTAACATCATAATTTTTAAATGAAGGATTTATACACATACATACACATACATTGTATGTACAATACCCGTACTTATTATATCTGCACATTGACGATAGTGCCGGTCTTTGAAGAGGTTTTCATAGAGTAAACATTCATTGATTGAATGTTGAACTACAACAATAACAATAATAATAATAACAACAACAATAACAGCTAACAGCTAAAGCATACACAACGAATCCAATCCACAATAGTGTAGCCAGCATTAGTGCCTTTGCGGTTTGTGATTGCCAGTTTATTACGCTCTCTCCCACCCCTAAACGCTCGTATATTTTACAATTGATTGAGAGCACTTTTAACTCTTGAAATTGAAATTGAAATCGTAAATCGTAAATCAGGTAAATAAAATTTAATTTCTTATTTATTTATTTTGTTTTGTTTTGTTGTGTTGTGTTTTTTTCCGTTTTTTGTTTTTTGTTTTTTGTATATTTAACTCACTTGTATATTGTTTGTTGATTGGTGTAAGTGCGGTCCTTGTTGCTTTGTTGCTTTCTTCGGTGACACACTCATAAATCAATCAATACCAAATGCCGTGAATCCTTTTAACTGCCTTCAAAAGCATGGCAATTGTTGTTGTTGTTGGTGTGTTCTTGTGCCGTGGTGTGTTGTGTTGTGTGCGAGTCGTTGCTGTCCTCTAACGCTAGCTTCACTTAATTCCACTTGATTTCCTTTTATATTCTATTTAAATGAATTTGTGTTTGCGTTTTACTTTTTTTTTTTTTAATTTTATTTCTTATCGTTTATGTTTGTTTTTGCTTAACTTTACACAGTTTCGCACTTAAGAAGCTTACATTTCTTTAATACTTTTTATAATAAAAAGTATAATACATTTATTTGAATATTTTCAATATCCTTTTGCAGGAAGAATTTCACCTACTTTACACCTCCCTCATTGCCGCGCACTAATAACATTTTTTTCTGTGCACATACGAATGTTGAAATTACACACGCACACAAAGTGACGAACGATACATAAATACGCAATGTACGGGACCATATAGCATACAACAAGAAATATAACAACAACGAAAACAACAACAACAAAACACACTAAACATATAATTTTCTTATGCTATTTTCGCTTTTAAGGCTAGTGGCAAATTTTTATTGATTTTTCTTAATTCTGCTCCTGCTGCTTACTGCTTTCGTTTGCTACTACTGCTTCCTTTGCTGCTGCAATTGTACTGTTGTTGCTGCTGCTGCTGACGTTGACGTTGACGTAGACGTTGAAGTCGATTCCGATTTCGATGTTGACGTCGGTGGTATTTCTGCAAGTACTTCGTTTTGTATAATGTGGGGTTTGGGTTTGGGTTATTAATGTTTGGAAATTGGTGCTGCTCGTGCTAGCTGCTACCATGTCAGCAGAGCACTTTAAAGCAGCACCGTTTAATAAAATGCAAATGCAGTACGTTAAAGTAAGTTAAAATAATATTTCATTTATTTATTTTGGCTTTATAGACGTTTTATTTATTGCAAAATAGAACACAAATTTTATTTAAATAATTTATATTATTTGATATGCAAATTTATTATTTGCGTCTTGTTTCTTTTATTGTTGTTAGTGTTGTTGGTTGTTTTCTAGTTACTTTTAGATTGCTCTTCGTTTTTGTTTTTTTAACATTTTCATTAAATTTTTTGTTAAAATTTCAATTATTGCACTTTTGTTTTATTGCTTGCGAAATGCATATTGATTAATTTATATTTTTAAAAATTTTACTCATTGTATTAACAAAAATTTATTCAATTTTATTAAAAGTATGAAACGCGCACGTAGTACGTCTTCCGATCCATTGCAATGGGAATTTCACCTCGTTTGACGTTTTTACACAACTAAATTCTTTTTGTTGTTTATGCTTTGTTCAGCTGCTGTCATACACAAATTCTGCTGAGAGCACAAAAACCCAACAAAAAACAAACAGAAAAATGAGCAGTAACACTTGGTACCGTAGAGGTGGGTAGCTGTGTTCAGTTCTCATAAATTATATATTACTGTTCATTTTTGAAGAGCTGAATTGTTGTTATAATATATTATATAATATATTTTATAAAAAATATAATATATTTTTATTGTAGTAATTAAATACATATTTAAAGCTATTATTGAAGCTATATTAATAAAAAAACTTTTAATATAATTTTGTATACATATATTATTATTTTTATAGTCTTTTTATATATAAGTTTATACAATAATTGAGTAATTGCATAGCATTTCCTTGTGTGCGATATATGTATGTATTTAATGATCGGATTGAATTTGCTCATCATGAGATCATATAAAAAATCTTTTAATTCCCCGTAATTAGATAACATTGTAAAAATTTGACTAATAAAGATTATTTTCTACTGTGAAATAAATTTTTTATATTACATAAAGTATTCATGTTGCTGTAAAGCTAGACTTTCTTTGTATGGTGATAAAGAAGCTTTATTAAAATTTAGATTAACATAGCATAGCTTCTTTGTAAAAAGCACCAGAATGGTCGCTTTACATATAGTAAGTAAAACAATATGCATTACAAAATGTCTCTACAAAAAAAGAGTAGCTTTGAAAAAATAAAAAGAATAGGCGAACCCTAAAGTTAACTTTCAATTCGTTAACTTGTGTTTCCAAAATAAAGCTGTAGTTTATAAGCTCGTTCTAATTTAAAGCACGGCAAGTGCTTTGGTTGATGTCACTAATTAAATAAAAATAAGTGACAATAAAACCTGGAACTTGAGCATTGAAAGTTTGTGCAGCCTTGGCTTCTTGTGGTTAAACACAATTAGTCATCGCTTCTAATTTGACAGGCACGAGTTCTAAGCCTGGCTCTTGCAGTCCAAACAAATTATATACGGACTATAAATTAATTAAATAAAAATTCGATTATTCCAAAGACCACTGATGAAGAGTACTTGGCAATATTTGAAACAGCGTTGTATGGTTAGCCAAATTTCAATAAAATTAAAAAAAATAAATTTTTGTGTTTGTCCTTTATTTCTTACTTTGCTATTCAAAAACCCCCCTAAGTTTTAATATTAATTTTTTGATATATTTTTTATAGAAATAAAAAAGTCCAGAAATTAGAACTTTTCGCAAATTCGAACTACCCGAAAATTTGTCTAATTTGCGAGAATCTACTGTATATGTATATATTTGTCAATATATTATAATATATACATATACATATATACATATATTATAGTCTAGAAATGGTTTGCATGAAACAGCTAATATTTTCTTAAAATTGTAGTATTAGAAATGATATCTTGTAAGAACGATAGAGAAAATAGTGTTGTTGTTTTGTATATATTTCCGGGAGTATAAACCAGCAACTTGCTACTTTTTGCCGTAATTGCGAGCCACCGAAAAGGCTTATTTTTAGTATATAATGTGGTGAACTTTATTTTGAATGTACATAAAATTAAATAATTTCAAAATGGTTTTTATTTAGGTGTTGTTGATAAATGGTTCACATCGAAATAAAATGCATTATTCTCAATTCCATTTATTTTGATATTACAATAATTCTCCAATTAAAATACTAAAAATGGAAAAAATAAGTCATAGCATGAACATTTACTTTATATCTGTAGAAGAGACTCCCTTATGCATTTTATGACTCTCCGAGAAAACATATGAGCACTAAATTGTGGTACAGTACAGCAAATAATATTCATGTATCATAAATAAAAAAAGACAGTACAACATAAAATTACAAATGAAATTAATAAAAGCATTAGAATGGCCATAAAATATTTTCCTTTTAATTTTATATTAAATGATTATTTTAAGCACTTTAAAAACTACAATGCATGATACAGAGGCAATACGTTTAATCGATTTATGATTTATGTACAATACGTTTCAATTGAAGTTTTTTTTATATTAGTAAATAGTGGAACATGTAAACAGCGACGATCTTAGTCATAAGTACAATTATACTGGATTCACACGAGAGTTTTGTTTGTAATTGTAGTTGTCATTTTAAATTAACCTTTATTTCGACAGCAAAACAAGTTGAAATCTAAATCTAAACCTAAATCTATGGTCATGTGTGAGTCCGAGTAAATTGGTGGTAAATTGAGGGAAGTAGTAAATTATGTCGATATGGCAGCGAATGTTGGTATTTAACAGAATTTCGAGTAGGGTATTATCTCTCACACAATTTCGAGTATTATCTCTCACACAGAACACACAGAATAATAAGCTTCCTCAGTGATTACTGAGTGTCTTAATTCACGAATAAATTACATATAGAAATTTCTAGACAAGCTGTAATATACTATTAAATAATATTTAAATAAATTAATATATTAATAAATATCCTACATACTGTAAAATATAAATAAAATGAATCCACTGTCATAATTAAGATTTACACTAATAAAAAGATTAATTTAAAAGTTAAAAACTGTTGTTTCTTTTTTCAAATAAAACGGTCAGCAGGAATTAAGAGATATGATTTACTAGATTTTCCTTGTTTTCTGCAGAGAGTATATATGATTTTATTCATATTTTCAATTAATTTGATTTAATCTTGGAAAATATAGGATCACATCCATTATATGCCATTTTTTAAAACTCTCAAAAATTATTATAATAATTAAAACTTATTTTAAATCACACAAAATACTAAGAACCTTTTCGTCTTTGACGGGTAGACACCACTTACTCGTCTTATAATGAAGATTAAACTAAGACGGATAAATGAAGACTTAACTAAGGTTCACATCATCTACAACACTTCAGATGCCTAAAAGCATGTTTCTTAATAGAAAGTATAAAATTTTAATAATAAATATAAATTTCTTTTATATTCCTAAGAGTAACTATATAATAATATAAAAAAGTTATTAATTAAATTATTGATTGATTAAGTTATATTGATGATATAAGGAGTTCGTTCAATGGTTATTCTTTAAGCCAGGGATGTCTGGACCAAATGCAATCGCGGGTCAATACAAATCACTGTACAGATTGGAGGACCGCAAAAAGACACAAAAATAAAATTTATTTAATTTGTCAATTTAAATTCATTTATTTGTTTTTCCATAAAAATAAGCTAATCTAGTTTTTTGACACCAAAAGAATATTTGTGTAGTTGTAGTAGATTAAAAACATGTCGCGGGCCACACAAACATCAGCCGCGGGCTACATGCGGCCTTCGGTTCGTGCTTTGGACAGCCCTGCTTTCAACAACACATTGGACTACCATATCTAGCATGAACACAAACCACACATTAAATGCTCCACTTCTTGGTGTACAGTACAGTTTTATAGCTAAAAAAACAAAAACCGTTTAAAAAAATTAGTATAGTGAAGGTATGTAATTGTAGTAATAATTAATTTTATTTAAATATTTAGGTATAAATTTTAATTATAGTTAATAAAATGCTAATAAATAAAAGCGCAGCACCACTACTGTTCTCAAGGTAGTAGGACTATGTTACGAAAAGCACAAGTGCTATTTGGGTGAGAACAGTTTTTTATAGTACACTACGTATTGTTGTCTGTGAACAGTCAGGTTCAAAAGTAAATATTTAAAATATTTGTACTGCTCATTCGTATAATAAAAGTACAGTATAAAACAAATTTTTCATTTATTTTGAATTAAAATGCACAGATGGCGTGTCGTATTAAATGTTTTGCTTTAATTTTGAAAATAGAAATTAATTGAATAAAATTGTTTTATTAATTTTTTAAATAAATAAATTTTAATTAAGAAATTTATGTATATCGCATGACAAGATATTGTGAGGATTGTAAGGAATTTTTAAATCCCGAAGAAATTATTATTTATAAGTTGTTAAATAAATAATTAAGTTTTAATTCGTATCGATATAACTCTTTACTATAATATTATTATAGTAATCGGCAGTTTATGGATCGGCAGTTCTTTTGCAGGAGCTAACTGTCGATTTTACAATACAGACCTAATATTCGATTTAACATATGTTCGAGTTCATAAGACCGAGTGCGAGTTCGAGTAAATTGATGGTAAATTGAGGAAAGTAGTAAATATTGTCGGCATGGTATGGCCTTCTAATAAATGTACAAATTTAAATTTTTTTTAAAATATAAGTTTAGGATATTTATAAGTATTATATCATATATTAAAAATCGCATATCTATCCATGCGGTTGTACATATGTACATATACATATTTCGTTACTTCTTATATATGTACTTATTCGATCTGTTAAAAAATTTCAGAGTTTGAATATACATAGCTTCATTGTACATTTTGCATACAGAATTTTGACAACAAATGTGGACTTCTCGACAGTAACACTTCTCGAATACTTTTTGAAAGTAGGAATTTATAGTTAGATCATCTATTTGGTATTACATGCGTCGTCGAAGTGAAACTTTCACTGAAGTGCTGTCAGTCTCTATGCTGCTATGTCTGAATTTGGTATCCCAGCAAAACTGTTAGAATTGGGAAGAACCTCACCGACCCGTTTGACACCAAACGAGGTTTCAAACAGGGTGACTCCTTGTCGTGTGATTACTTTAATCTAATGTTGGAAACGATAATTCGAGCAGGAGATTTAAACCGCACTGGCAGAATATTCTACCAATATACCAATGATATATTGATATCATTAACCTGAACACCCGCGCCGTCAGTGCGGCATTTTCCAACTTAGAAAAACAAGCAAAGCAAATGGGTCTTGTGGTAAATGAGGACAAAACAAAGTACTTTCTGTCAATAAACAAATCTCCTGATCGTTTTGGGAGTCATGCCACTGTTGACAATTATAAGTTCGAAGTTGTGAAAGACTTTGTTAATTTAGGAACCAGCTTAAACACCAAAAATGACGTCAGCCTAGAGATTCAACG